TTTTACTATTTGGAGGTGTTACAAAAATTTCAAAATAACATTTAAAAAATCCGCATATATGAAAATTTATTATTGATCAACCATTGTGACCAACCCCAATAATTTTTTAACCAAAATCACGTGAAACCTTTTTTTATTGCATTTTTGAAATTTGAGCGTGCGGCGCAGCAATAGGATGTCTTGTTTTATAAATAAAATAAAATGAAACTCATTATATCAGATCCACAATGCTCCATGGAGCTCAAGAATTATAGTAAAAAGCTTATTTTCTATATACATATATCTATCTGTCTTAGCTATGACTAACCTATTTTGGAAAAGTCAATTTTTTTAATATTGTGGTTGCTCTAGTGTTACACGGATCGTCATCCTAGAAAATTTTAAAACAAAGCAACTTTTTAATCTCAAGAGTCCTTTATTTTTGTCAAGTAAAAAATAATCTGCCTGCATTCTGAAAAATTCTAATTACCTCATATTAAACAAGATGGTACTTTAAAATTTTTTAATCTTTGAAGTTTATTTCAAAATTCTTATTTCCTTTTATTAATACCAAAAAATTATTTGTAATAAAAGATAATGTATAACTCTATAATAGTTCATTAAAGGTTTATATCTTGTAAATCGTACAAACTTAGAGTTCCCCAAGACTATTTAGAATTTTTTACTAACTCGTTCTTAACTTTAACATGTTTGCTAATAGTCAAGTATAAAAAAGCTAAGAGAAGAAGAAGAATTAGTTCGGAGAGAAGAATTAAAGTATGTACAATATTACCTGGCTAATCTTTTGATTCTAGGGATAGATGCTTATATAAGAAATGCTTATTGAATTTTAGGCAACTAATTTCTAAACATGAAGCTGCGTTGAGGAATTTATTTTTTATGGAAATTATGACGAATGATCTCGATAATATAGAAGTGTATACAGAGATAATAGATCCATCAAAAATAGATAAGACAAAATTAAATGAATATTTAGAGAAAAATAAATTGACCGAAGATCTTCCTGATGTTGAAAAAAGGTTTGTTTTTATATATACTAGTATTATACATTACTCATCACTATAATAGTAATTCAAAGTAATTGATTTATTAAAATCAATAATACTAGAAACATTATAAACATAGAAAATTTATATTAATAACCTTTCCGCTTTAAATTTTTTTTAAAAGCACAAATACTTCAAACACCTCAGGGCAATCTCCAAGTTCACAAATTAATACACAACAGTCTCAACCACAACCCCAGTCTTCAAATGATCAAAAGGCTCAGAATAAAAAGACAAGACGTGTTTCATTACCACCTGCTGAAAAAATGATTACAAGGTTACACAGTGGTGCAATTAAAGAAAAAAGTGTAGCTGAAATCATAGAAAATGCTGAGGTAAGCATACAAATCTGATAGATAATAAATAATTTTTTATTTAAAAATTAAATAAATTATGAAATCTTATTACACTATTTTTATTTTTTTTATTAAGCAGCGAAACCAATTCGGGGTCTCCAACACATCTACTTCAAATATAACATCACCTACATCTGCTACGAGTTTTAGGTTGCCCACAGTAAAATTAAATGTACCTCAAAGAAGACATTCTTCTCATAAATCAAATATGGTTTCTCAAAAATCTGGTGAAGGAAGACAACAAAATGCTATTAGTAGATCAGATAATACCTCACGTTCTATGGATCGTGAATCCATTATATCAAATTTCACTATACAGCCTTTACATAAACTAGTACAAGATACGACAAAAGCAGTAACTTCTGAAAATTGGGATGTATGTAAAAATTAATAATAACAATATTTATAGCCACTATTAAAAAACTATATTTTTACTCGATAAATGTATATATCTGTTTCAATTATTTATTATTATAGACTGCTTGTGATGAGACTATTTATGCAAGGATATTACAACGTATAGAGGAACTCAAAGATGAAGATTCTTGGAGTTTTGAACAGATTGAACCCTTCATTGATCCACCTAGGAAAAAAACACATCAAGATTATTTATTGGAAGAGATGGTAGAATTTTCATTATAATTAAAGTTTAATTATGAGCTAGTATTAATAACATGTATATATTAATAGAAATGGTTAGCAAAAGATTTTAAATTTGAGAGAAAATGGAAAATTGCTGCAGCTTTTCATATGGTTCGTTGGGTGATGGAATGGCATGAAACTGATGACAAATCTTCAATATGTGTTAAATGTGTTAAGGTATATGCCGATTTTTACATATTTATGTCAAGATTTCAGTATACCTGGCATAATATGGAAATATCGTTAAAGAGTTTGTGCCCATATGTTATATAACGTAATGATTTTTTTTTAATAATCTTTTATGAAACTTGCTATTTTATTTTTTAGCCTCATAATTCCTCCCCAAATTCAGTAGAGTCTTTAAGAAATAAAATTATCAACTTGTCATTAAATGATATCGTATGTACATTAGAAACACAAGATGGGCAATTTTATGATATCGAAAAGGCTTTCCCGGAGTTACCGGCATACACACCACCTAAGCCTTCTCCTGATGATATTTATATTGACGAAATTCATTGTCATCGCATTATTCCTGTATCGAAAATTATGTATAGACGTCCTAGGAAAGGCAAGCTCATATAACAAATTATAATTGGTCATATTATCCATATTATTTTATTTTTTAATGTTTATCAATCTTTAAATTTTGTATTAAAGAGAAACACAATGTCCGAAAAGGAGAATCTAGTACTATTCGTGAATATCAAGATGAGGATCCTTATTATAAAAAAATTAAAAATGAAAATTCTGATGAGGCTGAATTAATCGATGATGAGAGTTACTCTAATAAAAGTAAAACTTTTTTTTTACATAAACCATTAGGTTAAATTAGATGCTAATTATTTTCTTTATTGTTTTTGAATTATTTTTAGTTTTCTGGTCAGAATCACATCAGAACAATAAACAAATAAAAGATTTAACAAAGAATTTTTCAAAATTTGACACACCTAAATTACGTCGTAATTTTAACTTGACAGAATCAATAAAACGAGTGTCTAAAATTCGCCAAGACAATATCACTAAAAATCAAACTCAAAGAAGAATACATGATCAACATATATCATCCCGAAGAATTGCAAATCCAATGGAATTGAGTCATATCAAGATTGAACAAGAACGTCAAGTACAAGCAGTATTATATGAACAGCGACACGCTGCAGCTGTTGCTTTTCAAGGACACGGAAGACCAATTTATATGAGATCACAAAATCCAATAATTGCACAAGGAAGAACATCATCTGTTGCTGTCGCAAATGCGAATCATATTCAAGCTTTTGTAATGCAAAGGCAAGCACTAGCTCAGGCTCAACAGCAGCAGCAAAGACTTTCTCAACAACAAATGACGCCTAATATGACGCCTAATATGACGCCCAATATGGCACCTAATATGGTACCTGCTTCTCAAGCTCAATCTTTACAGGTTCAACAATATTACAATTCACAACTTCGAGGTCAACAATTCCAATTTTAAATAATATTATTTATATCGCTAATATGATACGTATCTTTAAATAATTATATAATTAAATTCAATTTTGTCAAATAAAATAAAAAATTTAAATTTGTACTTATTATTCATGTTATCAGTACAAGAGAGACTTTATATATAAAAAACAAGTTTGTGATCAATGATAACATAGTTCTAGAGTGCCCAATTCACGAAATAAAAAAACATCATTTATTTTTTATACATTAAAATGACGATGGTTTAAATTTTCAAGGAGATGATTAAATATATGTAAATTTTTACAATTTATTCCAATAAATTAATAAATTTACCCGGCCTATTAAAATTAGATAATAAAATTATTATTAAACGTTTTTTTAAAAATTACAGACACAATAATTTATACCTTCTTCCTCATGAATCTGATCCCCAATAATCATCTTGATGATTGGTTTCTGTACCCTCATCCCAATAATTTTCTTGTTGATTGGATTTTGTAATTTCGACATCACAAGATGCATCTACATTATCAGTGCACAAACATAAATATATAATTAATATCAGCACTTTTATATACATATATACACATAAAGATATTTACTTTTCATGCAATCTTCTTTATTTTCCAAATTATTGGAGTCCAATTCGTTATTCTCATTATTGTTTTCATTCCAAATATTACCAGTATTATCCGCAATATGTTGTTCTTGCTGCTCAGCCCAACTATTGCCATCGCCGAACCTCTTATCCTCATTTAAATTGCTTGAAAATTCCTTTGATTGATCACTGTATCGTCTAGATCCACCACCATCATCTCTTTTACTAGCACCTCGTTCACTTCTGCCACGCCCTCGCCCCCTTTTCCCGTCTCCGCGTGATGAATTTCTTGTGACATTCCCTTGTTCGTCATCATTATCATTGTGTCTTTGTCCTGCATCTTCCTTCCAGCCAGTTTCATTCTTTCCTCTATCCCATTCTCTATTGTGACTATTTTCTATTTTTCTTTGTGCGTTCCTTTCACGTTCCATGCTTTTATATATTATAAATATTATAAACACTTTTATGAAAAGACATTATCTTTTTTTATTTAACAAAAATTAACACATACTAGGTTTCTTCTTGTAATTTTTTTTTTTGTAATTCGCGTCTCTTTCTTATTTCTTCTTCTTCTTGAAGTATCATCTTTTGTCTTTCATAATCTTCTAAATCTCTTTTATTTCTTTCATCTTCCTCTTTACGAAACCTTTCTTCCTCTTCTTCAACTAACTATGGTTTCATAATATATAAACACAGATAGATATATGTACTTATTTATTCAATAAAATTTTATTATAATATATAAATAAATAAATAATAATGAATAAATACTTTTCGTTTTTCAATTAATTTTTTATTTTGTAAACTCATTTTTTCCATTAAATCTTTTAATTGAGTCTCGTTCATTCTATCCATTCTCTGAATATATGAATATAAGGTTTGAAATAAAATAATTGATTGATCAACATCACCATCATAATAAAATAAATAAATTGGTCGTTATATATATCTACGGTTTTCAATGACACTAACCCGAGAAACACCACCTGATTTTACTCGGTTCTCATTAACATATGGAGCTGATCCTCTTTTAGGTGCATGTATGCTCTCATATAAACTTCCGGGTTTTCTTTCCTTGGGACTTTGTTCAGGGCTGTAGTCTTCATTCTTGTTGTGGCGGTTATTTTTGTTGTTATTGTTATTATTATTATAATTGTTGTTATTACTATTATCATCATTATTATTATGATTATCATTATGATCATCTATTTCAATATTGAATTCAATTTATAAAATTAATTTTTTAGATACAATTCAATGTTTACATAATAATTTTTATATATATAAAATAGCCTACAATTATATCTATAGCCACCACCACCATTCGAAAAATCTCTCTGTCCATATCCTCGATAATCTGATCCTCCACTGGAATTACGCTCAAAGTTATCCCAATTTCTTTGTGGCGATTCTCTTCCTCTTCCACCACGTCCACCACCACCACCACGACCGCCACTACGACCACGACCGCCACCACGACCACGACCGCCACCACCACGACCACCACCACGACCACGACCTCCTCTAGAAAACCTTCCTTTATTATTGTTATCTTGTACCTTTCCACCGTAAGTTGTTGAATTATCTTGAAAGCTCTCGATAGTTTCTTCCGGAGCCAACAAGTTATCTAAATTCTCAGTACTAGAGCCTCCTCCCCAATAATCATCATTCACATTTGTATTTTCTTCAATTGCTACATTTTCTCCCCATCCACCTCCTATTGTTGACGATACCTCTCCCCACCCATCCCCTGCTGGCATAGATTCTTCTCCCCAGCCATTATTCTCACTCTGTTCTTGAACTTTTATACCCTCTCCTTGGACTTCACAAACCTCCGAGGTTCCGCCAAAAGTGTCTTGGACAGTTTTTGAAATTGTCAATTCCTCTGTTAATTCCGACACTTCTGTCATTATTAATTCTAGTAGATTTATTATTCTTACCTAAATGTTAAACTAAAAACGTTTATCATTTGTTGCAAATTGACTGTACTCACTTAAGCTACCTGAACCAAAGATCGGGATTGCTGTAAAAAAAATTTTCTTATGGTGAATGTTACACTGTATTCAAAATATAGTAATAGGACAAATGAGGTGATGTTGGCATTAAAAATTTACTACTGATTAGCAACATACTTATAAGGCTTCGTTTATATCTTCACCAAGGGTAGATTTAATAGATTTACAATATGTATATTTAAAGGTCTACACGTTTTACTAATGTATTCTTTCTTTAGCGCCAACCTTGCGCCAAGTATATCCGTGGGATTTATTGTTTAAATCGGTAATGTGATCAATTCATGCTGTTTTTTTAAAACAAAAACACGTTGAACCATGTCTTGTGTTTTAAACCCGGGAGTGAAATAACATGATGGTTTTTCACATAATAATAACCATTTGCATCCACAAGATTACGAATCTTGTAGATCCGGAGCATGCATTGACGGAGCTTATATCTTTGCGCTTATTATGAATAGAATGCACAGTAGCATATTGTAGAACTGAACAAGAAAACACAATTAATAATATTATTATTAATAAGACAAAATTACTATTAATAATATTGATAATAACAGCAGTAATGTATTAAAGATTAAAGATTAAAGATTAAATACGGAAAGAGAAAAATTACAAATGAAGCGAATAAAGACAAGAAAAAAAAGTGTCAAATGATGATGGCAAGAAGAAGGAAAGTTGATATACTTCAAAAGATTAGTAAGGTGATAGACAAAATGATGGTTAATTAATTGATTAATTAAAAAAATGATTTTATAATATATATATTTCACAAAATATATTATTATTTATTAAAAATACTTTTTTTTATATAATCTATTATAATCATAACAGATTTATTAATATTATTTATTAAAGAATCTCTATGATTTGTTTCTAAAATATTTAAATCTTCTATTCTAATTCCTTTTTCACCTGAATATAAATGTTTATGATATTTAACATGATTTGGCCAAACTATTTCATCAAAATAATTTGGTGGATCAATCCAAAATCCTATAATAATAAATAATCAATATCAATAATATTAATTAACTATACCATGTAAATAAACGATCTTTCTTCTCACCTTCCAATGTAATGTATTTAGACCTTGAATCTCTTCTTTCTTTCAAAATTTCATAATCTGCTTGAATAAAAAATTTCAAATCTATTTCTTTAAAAATTTCTTTTTCCCAATACAACAAAAATCCATCAATTAAAATAAATTTCCAGTTATCAATATTATCATCATTATCAACAGTATTATTATTAATAATTACATCTTCAATTTTTTTTGACAATTCTTTTACTAAATTATTTGGTAATTCTTTGATAGTTTTTTCATATAATTCATCAGTTTTTGATTTACTGATATCATCATTAATATTGTTGTTGTTGCATAAAATCTTTAAAGTTTTATGAAATGATAAAAAGTTTATTGCTTCAGGACAATCCCAATTTTGTAAATTTGTCTTAATATCTAATGGAATTTCTGAATCAGGCTTTAATATATTAATTATTACAATAATGTGCATAAATTGTGAGGATTAATTTTATTTATTTTAAATTAGCAAATAAATAATTTACCTTGAAAAAATCATCTTGGAAAAGTATAATTGGGTTTGGTAAGATTTTTTCAAGACATTTTACCAAAATCTTTTATTATAATTGTTATAGTTAATATTATAAATATTTGTATTTGTATTATTATTACTTACAGTTTTTCCTGAACAAGATACTCCACTAAAAATAATATCGAGTGAATTGTTTTCAAATTAGTTTTTGATTTAAATATATGTAAGTATAGTTCAATCAACTTTACCTGACTCCTATAGTAATTATTTTTTTATTCTTTTCGGTCATTTTTAAATTTAAACAAGAATTGCGAGACTAGTGTGCAAATCCTAAAATTTAAGGAGCAGGTCGTTTTGCCAGAAATTTTGGCTGATCGACATTGAAATTTTACTAATAAAAACTCGAATTGAATGTCTTCAG